CATATTAGATAAAAGTTGTTAAGCATTTTGGAGAAAGTATCCTCCACTGCACTGGAATTATCGTAGAAGAAAAAATCTGAATAAACAAAAAGTCTTCATTATCTAGGCTTCCAACTTTCACCCCTAAAAATTCTGTGCCTTCCCAAACCACATATACATCTGCGATCCATCAAAATGAAGGATATAAGCATCAGGGTTAACCAATGGTTAAGTCTACACATCTGATCAAATCTTTAAAATCTCTTATATCTGATTATGTAATGCAGTTCCCTAAATCTATAGCATCCTACCCTAGATCAGGAAGCCAATCTGGCATACAGAAAAAAAAAATCTTTCAGTTTCAACCACAGGTTCTAAAATTAAAGAAATCTTTGTTAGAAACCCAGGTAAGGAGCAAGTTACTTTTCTTTTTTCTTTAATGGAGAAAAAAATCACTATCTTGCATAAGTGTTGGGAGAACTGAAGAAAATATACATAAAGCACTGACCACAGTAGCTGGCATGTAGAATGACAAGTAATAATTATTGTTTTGCCTTTATTAGCTATTTTTGAAATACAATTAAGCTACAGAATGTGGAACTCAAACTTTTAAAGTCCTTTTTTTGGAGGTCATTTTGGAGGTCAAGAGATTTTTTTCACATTGTAAAAAATTCCTTTGAGTCTAATATCTTCATTTATTCAAATATTTATTTGGTGCTTCTGACGTATGAAGGCACTGCCCTGAATATCAAGGATACCCCAGAGAAGAAATTTGAATTATCATCCCTTGCCCTCAAGAAACTTACATTTTAGAGGAGACTAGACATTAAACAACCAATTATATAATTACTTAATCACAATTGTGTCTGTACTTAAAAAATAAAATAAAATAGGGAGAAATAACCTAACAAGATCAGAATTTAAATTTCTACACAAATATCCCACCTCCCTCCAAGGATTCTCAATCATTCCCTCTATAATTAAACCTAATCCAAACCTTTGTATAGACTTGATCTGTCTGGTTTTTTAAACAATAAAATAAGTAATTAACTTGACTGGCCATTTTTTAAGTTTATTTTCTAATTATAGTTGACTTACAATATTATATAAGTTTCAGGTGTACAACATAGTAATTAGACATTTATATACCTTATGCAGTGATCCCTCCCTAAGTCTAGGAATCACCTGTTACCTTACATAGTTATTATGATATTACTGACTATATTCCCGATGCCATTTTTATGTTCAGAACTGAATACTAAAATTATTAAAAAATATGTAAAACCTACAAGTTAATTTCAAATATTCCAATGGTGACTTCTTAGTGAAAGAGAAAGCAAAGACATAATAACACAGGTAAGCACTTGTCAGCTACCTTGTTACTTGGTGTTTAGTTTGGTAGATCTGACAAGTGCTAACAAGACCTGAACTCTTGTTAGAAAATACATTTCTTGATAGATTATAAAACTACTATATTTAGTTTATATGCATACCACTATTCATAATGACTCCTTTTTCAGAATGTTTTTATTGAAGTAAAATAAATATTTACGTATTTATTACTGAAAAACAAATTACTTCTATGATTTTTAAGATCAGAACAATTCTAATTTGCTTACTAAAAGAGCATTTTTTTTTTGCTCAGGTACCTTTTTAATCTGCCACCTTAAAAAAGTTTGTCTAGCCCAGCTGGTGTGGCTCAGTGGTTGAGCATCGACCTATGAACCAAGAGGTCATAGTTCAATTCTGGTCAGGGCACATGCCCAGGTTGTGGGCTCCATTCCCAGTAGAGGGTTGCTGGAGAGAGCCAATGAATGTTTCTATCTCTCGCTCTGAAATCAATAAAAAATATATTTAAATTTTTTTTGTTTTAAATCTGGTGACATCCATTTCAAAGACAACTCAAGATTCCTATCTTCAGAAGTTAGCACACTGTTGCAGAATAGTGCCATTAATATCCCAAGTAAATATCATGGGGAAACTGAGCAATCAGATCAACTCTCCCACCAAAATGAAAATTAGTTTATTCTGTAAAATAAAATCTACCTCAGTATTTGTCTTAGATTCAAACAATACTCATCTAGAAATTAATGCAACAATTAACTCAGAACAGCAACTGTCAAGTTCCAGAAGTGGCCTCTTCGCCTATATTTAGTTCCTAAGGAGAGCCAGTCTAGGTTCCTGATGTCAATTACAACGAATGGAAGACATATATTTAAATCTAATAGCACCATCTAGCAGAACTTCCACTACTTTGCTTACAAGAAAGAGTAGATGTTACTTGGTGTTCAGTTTTGTAGATCTGACAGCACAAGTGGCAATTATTTGTTTTCATGAAAGAATCAGAGAATGAGAACTACAAAGGACCAGACACACCAGGTCCAACTTTCTCATTAAGTATCTCAGATACTTTTTTTTTTTAACAATTTAAAAAGTTATCAGGATACAGATTAAATTCAGCCATTCCTGGGAATCCAACTAAAATTTAAAATTACTTTTATTCTCAAATTCAACCACCCTCAAAGTATATAAGATTTTACATCAACATATTTCAATTGCTCCAATCCCATATGCTCTGTAATCATTAAAACATCCTCCTCTAAAGGCTTTTATTTTATCAGACATATTACAACCAAATGATTAATGCACACAAATTAGGCTGTTTCAAAACTTTGATTCCAGTAACTGCTGTTTCTAAAGCTGGCTATGATGCTGTCTGTTGTACATTCCTTGTCACAGCAGTAAGATCCTGAATGTACCTCCTCAGAAAATACCATGGGGAAAACAACAACAACAACAACAAAAACCCCAGCATCTCTGCGTTAATTTTTTGTTGTTGTTTTGCTACATCAAGGCCTGCCACCCCTAAATCCCATGGGGATTGTGGGTGCCGCTGCCAACACGAAGATTAGGAAATGTTCCCATCCCCAGGGCACAAGAAACTTTCAGGAGAAGGCTGTATCCACTGCCTAAAGCAAACAGGGAAAACCTGCGCCTTCGCCTGTTATTGACGCAGCTATTTCCGTGCGCAAGGTAACCCAAGTAGCTTTGGGGAGATGGTCTCAGACTTTTCCCCAGGCTGGACCCCCGGGGGAAGGGAGAGAGCACGTTCAGTGGCAAGGTAAGCCTCGCCCTCGGAGTGGAAGTGGTTACCGGGCACCGCGGATCTGCTGCACACACACACAAAAAAGAGGGGTTGTTCCTCAGTGGTCACAGTCACTATTCGCTCTCATTTTTAGCAACAACCCAATCCCCGTTACAAGTGCAGGCGAACAGCAGCAGGCAGCCCAGCCTTGCGTGTGCCGCGACGGTGGCACCCCGGGCCAAGGGGCGCTTTTCTCGCCCGCCTCCTCCGGGCTCCCACCGAAGTTAACACCTGTATCTCCGCCGAACCCAGCTCCACAACTCCTCCCCACGCCTACTCTTCCCCCTTCCCCGAATACCCCGTTTCGGACCAGGGCCCCCTTCCCAGCGCAGACAACCCTTCGCGCGCC